AACCCTACACAGGCAAGAATAAAACAACCCTAACCCTACACAGGCAAGAATAAAACAACCCTAACCCTACACAGGCAAGAATAAAACAACCCTAACCCTACACAGGCAAGAATAAAACAACCCTAACCCTACACAGGCAAGAATAAAACAACCCTAACCCTACACAGGCAAGAATAAAACAACCCTAACCCTACACAGGCAAGAATAAAACAACCCTAACCCTACACAGGCAAAAATAAAACAACCCTAACCCTACACAGGCAAGAATAAAACAACCCTAACCCTACACAGACAAGAATAAAACAACCCTAACCCTACACAGGCAAGAATAAAACAACCCTAACCCTACACAGGCAAGAATTAAAAAAAACACTAACCCTACACAGACAAGAATAAAACAACCCTAACCCTCGTTTGACAACACGAGTTTTGTTAAACGTAAAGGCCTTTACTGTGAGATGATGGCTTTTACGGATTGTGTGCAACTAAAAGATGTGATGTAGACAACTTGGTGCCTCAAACGATGGACGACCAGACCTGCGTTGACCTCAAGCCGAATATTCGTTGTTGGACAAGTTGGATGTATCATGACCCTGATACATCACTAGTACAAGTTGGATGTATCATGACCCTGATACATCACTAGTACAAGTTGGATGTATCATGACCCTGATACATCACTAGTACAAGTTGGATGTATCATGACCCTGATACATCACTAGTACAAGTTAGATGTATCAAGACCCTGATACATCACTAGTACAAGTTGGATGTATCATGACCCTGATACATCACTAGTATAAGTTGGATGTATCATGACCCTGATACATCACTAGTACAAGTTGGATGTATCATGACCCTGATATATCACTAGTACAAGTTGGATGTATCATGACCCTGATACATCACTAGTATAAGTTGGATGTATCATGACCCTGATACATCACCAGTACATGTTCTGTACACAAACATTCCGAGGGAAAATTGAACAAAAAACGTGTTGAAACTTTGAGCTCATGTGAAGGTAAATAAAAATACTGACAGTAGAGTTCAGGGAGGTAATGTTGAAAAACACAGAGAAACTTGAGAAAAATATATTGACTTCTCTCCCTTCGACGCTGTACTCTTTGACGCACAGAAAAACGACAGAGCCAAAAACTCCAGGGACAGAGCAGACGATAAACACCACAGATATAAATAGAACCATTTTAACACACGCTTTGTCTCTTCTGGAGATGATATTATTTTTAGGAACTAATGACGCTTGTTTTCTCCATTTGGAAATGTCTACAAATTTCTGTATCAAGCCAACAGTAAAGATGACGACAAGAGCAAACACGGCCAGCTCGACAAAAATGATGACAACAACACTGATGTTTTCGACTACGTCAGAATTTTCAATTTTGACTAGACCAAACACTGTTGAATTGTCGACTTTGTTAAATTTTGGTCCAATTTTGTTGGCCACAAAAGCCGGTATAACACTTCCAAACATGCAGCCATAAATGGCACAGGAAACCATGGCTGTTCGCTTTGGTGTGATGAGGGCCTTGACCTTCAGTGGCACAGCTATACAGAGGAATCTTTCCAGACTTATAAAAGCTGTCAGACAACCGGAAATACGGCTAAACATCAAATGAGGCCAACCCAAAATAAGATAACCGATTGCGTTGATAACTTCTGAATTAATCTTGTCATGTAGAAAGTTTGGACTGTAGATGACCACATGTCCAACCATAGTGATGTGTATACCAATGTCCGCTATGGCAAGACTCAACAAAGAAATGTTGATGGTATCGGTGAAGCCCAGTTTCATGAAGACGATGATGTTGATACTGTTGAAAATGAGACCAGCAATGTTGATAAGCCCACCGATGATGACTATGCTGACCAGAGTAAAGTGGTTGAACGTGACGTCATCCATCAAACCTAAAGTTCTGATATTTGCTCCACAGGTCGTTAGATTAGTTTGTGTTTCTGTACCGGGCTTATCCATCAGAGATCTATTGTTTGCTTCATTTTGTTAAGGTACACTTTATTTTTTTCTTTGTCAATTTTTTCTCGCAATGCTTTTATACTTTATTTGCGATTCGTTATTACATAACTTGCATATTTTGATTTTGTTTGCTATACAGATATGTGTTTATAAAGGTGGAAGCGTTTGATAAATCTATCCCACAGTTTGTGTTGAATGGTTTGTGGTGTTGTATAGACCAGAAACTAAAATCTTCCCAGCTTGATGCGGTGAGTGACGACCTGAATGTTGTATGCTATTTCTGAAGTTACTTTTTCTGGTAAGTAAAATAAAACTTGCCAGCTGTTATTAAAATGTTGTGAGTTCACCTATCTAATTATTGTCCCAGGTATAATCACTCAAAACAAAAGATACATTATTTCAAGAAGTTGGTTTTGCCGGCTATTGAAATAGTTTATGTGTAGAGACTAAATATCAGTTTTGTGTCATCACCCTCATTATCTTACTGTGTTATCACCATCATTATCTATCGGTGTTATCACCATCATTATCTTACTGTAATTGGCGTACCAGTGAATCACATAGTCGCTGGTCTCCTCTAGAAGACCCGCCCAGAAATGACGTATGTTATTATTTTTGTCGCTTCTGTTCATTTTATTCTACTGCTCATACAAGTCGTACACTGTTCTCGATTAGCTGCTAAAGCTAGTCAAATATTTGAACACAATGAGTGTACTGTTACTTAGTTTGTCAGTCCTTTATAAAAGGTTAATAACTCTAGACCACAGGCAAATAAATCTATAGTTTCAAAATTTTAAAATAGTCTTATTTAGTCAACGTTTTAAAGCCATATCGTACGAAGCGTTAGTTCTATAAATTCCATAAAACAACTTTAGTAGCAGAGTCCTCCTACGTGTGGCAGGATTAACACGCTACATACGACTTCTATCATTTGTTTATTTTTTAAGTTTTACAAAGCCATTCTGCAGTGATTGAAGATTCATTCTGATCACGCTAGAACTCATCTTATCAATCCTACCATAAACTTTGACACCTGTATTGCTGTTTTTTTCTTTAACAATTTCCAAAATGTATCCTGAAAATCAAATTTTATTCTAAAGCAATAGAAGATTAGCGAAACGTCAAAAATAAACGTATCGCATTCAAACCCTAAACTAGTCAGTCTGTTAAAAACTTGAACACGATGCATACACAAATTTGAACGCAAATATTTGGACAGACATTTGGACACAAACATTTGACACAAACATCTGGACACAAACATCTGGACACAAACATTTGACACAAACATTTGGACGCAAACATTTGGACACAAACATCTGGACACAAACATTTGACACAAACATTTGGACACAAACATTTGGACACAAACATTTGGACACAAACATTTGGACACAAACATTTGACACAAACATCTGGACACAAACATTTGGACACAAACATCTGGACACAAACATCTGGACACAAACATTTGACACAAACATTTGGACGCAATTATTTGGACACAAACATTTGGACACAAACATCTGGACACAAACATTTGGACACAAACATTTGGACACAAACATTTGGACACAAACATTTGGACACAAACATCTGGACACAAACATTTGGACACAAACATTTGGACACAAACATTTGGACACAAACATTTGGACACAAACATTTGGACACAAACATTTGGACACAAACATTTGGACACAAACATTTGGACACAAACATTTGGACACTAACAAAACGTGAAACTTGTGATCGTGCTAGCCACTGACTTTTCTATTTACTTTTCGTGGCCAGAAGAAAACAAGCCAGTGATTTGTGTAGAAAGGTGAAGTAAAGATTTACCTCCCTTCTATGTTTTCTTAAGTTGCTTGTCCACGATGATAGTTTTATAAGCTTTTATTTAGTTCATAATGTCTCTCTTTTTGTTTGTTTGTTTGTTTGTGGATTAGGGGTAAATCTTGTCAAAGCGATTCTGGCTTTTTATTTTTTTGACAATCTATACTGAACCAGGATTTTCCATGTTTCAAACTGTAATTGTGTGTTAAGCATAACTTAGTTTAAAAGTCCTTGTACGATACTTCCTTAACAAAATTATTGAATCCTCATTAAGTAAATACATATGTTTGTGATTTGAAAACTTTATCGATATCTTAAACTTGCACACGATTAAAAAGCAGGTGAAAAATATATTATGTTTAAAGTTTTTAAATATTTCAGGTGACTGCAGGGGGTAGGTACACATTTTATTTAATCTATCTGGGCCAGTTATGTGACTGTGTTGGTGGGGGGGGGGGGGGTAATGTGTATGGGTGTGTTGGGGAGTATGTAGGTGTGTGTGTGTTTAGAAGTGGGTGGGATTGTATGGGTGTTTGCCAAACTCAAACAGTGTTGTATGTGTGGCTATTTATAATTATCTGAGTTTTTACGTATTCAAGTTAGTAAACTTTGACTAAAACTAGTCGCATCTTTCGTCTCCAGCACTATGTTAGCTGAAATATTTTCGTGTCCAGCCATATGTTAGCCGAAATGTGATATCAACATTTAACATATTTGCAGTGATTGAAATAAATTTTAAAATCAAACGAAAGGATAGTCATAGTACAAATTACTATTTATAACAGTCTTTTTAAAAAATCTTACCACAATTATAATTCTCAATAACATATATGCAAATAAATAAACCACCAACTACCCAATAAAACAAAAAATATAATTAATCGATAAACTAAACATCCGACCTACACTGGTGATTATACTTTGTGCAACAGTTCCTTGAGAGTGTTTGAAATCATGGCTGTCGAAACACAAAACACAAACATTTTATGTAGCAAAAATATCATTCAGCTGATCCCATCTTTTCTCTTACAATGTGAAGATCGAGATGACCCCTAAGGTCAGTCATCAACGTCTGTCCACTAGCTGATGTTCGAGAACATAGGTCTCGGTATAGTGACCCGTGCAAAAATCGAAAAACTTTGACCGGCCATTTGAGGGTGTTAGGACTCTAGTTTGCGGCAACCAATCTTCTAGGAAAAAGTGTCCAGAACATCTGGTTGAATTTGGAGCTCATTTTTAAGTAGATAAAAATAGAGACAGTTGGGTTCAAGGAGGCCATGTTGAAAATCATAGAGAAGCTGGCAAGAAATACATTGACTTCCTTCCCTTTGACACTATAGTCTTTGATAAATAGCATAACCACTGTCCCCACGACCACTGGAAATGTACAAAATATAAACACGCAAGATATAAATAGAACCATATTAACCAAGACTTTATCGCGTGTTGAGAATGTGCTATTTTTAGAGCTTGATGACGCGTGATTTCTCCATTTTGACAAGTCGACATATTTCCGTATCAGTCCGACAGTGAAGATGACGACAAGAGTGTAGACGGAGAGCTCGACAAATATTGTGATGACAAAACTGATGTTTTCTATGTCGTCGCTGTTTTCTATCAAGACCAGACCAATGACAGTCACGTTTGTGTCTTCGTTAGACTTCGGTCCAATTCTGTTGGCCACAAATGCCGGGATGACACTACAAATCATGCAGCCATAAATAGCACAGGAAACCATGGCTGTTCGCTTTGGTGTGATGAGGGCCTTGACCTTCAGTGGCACAGCTATACAGAGGAATCTTTCCAAACTTATAAAAGCTGTCAGACAACCGGAAATACGGCTAAACATTACGTGAGGCCAGGCCAGGATCAGATAACCAATGGCGTAGATGAGTTCAATTTTGGATTTATCCTGTGCCATATCAGGGCTGTAGATGACCACATAGCCAATCATCGTGATGTGTATACCGATGTCCGCTATGGCAAGACTCAACAAAGAGATGTTGATGGTATCGGTGAAGCCCAGTTTGATGAAGACGATGATGTTGATGCAGTTAAAAATAACGCCGAAAGCGTTGAAGAGCCCACTGAAGACGTAGGTGCTGGCTAGCGTTAAATAGCTGAAGGTGAGGTCATCCAGTAACCCGTGTAGTTGAAGGTTAAAGTTATCTTCTCCTGCCGTGTCCGTCAAGTTACAACTTGTCGAGCTCTGCATGTTGATGGTTGATTTTGTTTGCCTAAATCTATAGTGCGCCTTAACTATCGCTGGTGGCAAACTAGTAGCAAGTGACAACGTTAACCGCACTCTGTAACGTACTAAAAAACGGCGGCTACTCAATGAAATGTAGTGACCAACGACTAATAAATGTAGTGTTATCCGGAGTAAAGTTTCTTTGTGTAAAGTAGATTTATGTTTTTGATCTCAAGTGTAATAGTGTGGTCTCCTCTCTCGATGGATCCCACCCACACAACTTAAATGACTGGTATCATCTGACAGTCGACTACACACGAACCTATCATTTCCGCTGAACGCTGCTCTAGATTTCTAAAACCTTCTAATGTCGTTATTTTTTATTCCCAAGTGAACAATTTTAGATCTTCATTGTGTATAATCTCTTCACAATGTAACAATTTTACGACAACACATCTCTGATGTGACGACAAATAGCTACAGCTATCATCAGCAGAGTTGCAATTTGGCACCACATCAACAAGTCTATCATTAGTTTAAACTCTAAACGATATCGTGACTTTCCTATTGGATTTTCTAATAGGTCACAACATTTAGTTGTCGACTATGTTCTCTTAGATAAATAAACAAAGACAAAACGCAGAAATTAATGTCGTCAGTAATTAGAGGGAAAATAAACATTGCGTTTAAGATCGAATTTTATTATACTTTATTTGTAATCACCCATTTCAAAAGCTGGTGACCAATGTTTATATTTTTATAGAACGAAAGTTTACAACGTTGAAATAAATATTTCACTTGCACAAGTCATTTTGTGTTATCTGTCATTAGGAAGTCCAAATTATCAACAAAAAAATGCGTTTTGGGTTCTTTTTTTTTTTTTTTTTTTTTTTTTTTTTTTTTTTTTTTTTTTTTTTTTTTTTTTTTTTTTGTAGTTTTTAAAAGAGAAAAATCAAACCGCTTCTGATACGGTTACACGAATATTTTATACGAGAAAAATGGCCCGTTGAGGAAGGATACACCGGGCGCTAGGTTGATAGTGCTGTCTCTTTTCTCTAAACTAAAACCAACCCCCCCCCCCACACCACCCCCACCCCCCCCCAAAACACACCACCCCCCCCAAAAACACACCACCCCCCCCAACCCCCCCCCCCCACCCCCCACCCCCCAAAAAACATGTCTACCGTCCCATTCAACGAAATATAATTATATACTTTTTCCAGTGTCCGACCCCTCCCAGAAAATTCTACACCCGCCCCCGAAAATTTCAAGTACCCCCACCCCTCTACGGGGAGGAAAAAGTCTAAATTAACCCCCCCCACTTACCCCAGCCCCCCCCCCACTCACCCCAGCCCCCCCCCCCCCCCCCCACACACACCACCCCCCCTAAAAAAACATGTCTACCGTCCCATTCAACGAAATATAATTATATACTTTTTCCAGTGTCCGCCCCCTCCCCGAAAATTCTACACCCGCCCCCGAAAATTTCAAGTACCCCCACCCCTCTCCGGGGAGGAAAAAGTCTAAATTAAAACCACCCCCCCACTCACCCCCCCCCCCCACACACACACACCACCCTCCCCCCACCCCCCACCCACCCCCTCTAAAAAAAAAACATGTCTACCGTCCCATTCAACGAAATATAATTATATACTTTTTCCAGTGTCCGCCCCCTCCCCGAAAATTCTACCCCCGCCCCCGAAAATATCAAGTACCCCCACCCCTCTCCGGGGAGGAAAAAGTCTGAAAGAAACACTGGTGTCGCGCTTAGCCACTACCCAAAGAATTGCATTAAAGAAATTGCAAGAAAACCACTTTTTAGATTAGACACATTAATTAGGCGGTAATTTTATTATAGAGTATCGATGAAGAAATTTCTTTTGAGTTGGGGAGGGGGGGGGGGGGGCTCAGACGTTCTTACGCGTGGGGTGGGGCTTCGCCCCTACCCGAAGAATTGTATGCAAGAAACTCTTCACGCAAACCATTTAGATTAGACAACATTTCCTTTGTATTCAATGTTTACGCGATAATCAATGACGTCATTATATTACTGTGTGCACTTTCCGCCTTGATATTATTTTCAACTCTATGTTAAATGTGTCGACGTCATACTTCGTTTTCGTTTCACTGTGCAAGTTTTAAATTTCCTTATGTTTTCTCTAGAGCGTTCTTGTCAGACAGATAGATAGATAGATAGATAGATAGATAGATAGATAGATAGATAGATAGATAGATAGATAGATAGATAGATAGATAGATAGATAGATAGATAGATAGATAGATAGATAGATAGATAGATAGATAGATAGATAGATAGATAGATAGATAGATAGATAGATAGATAGATAGATAGATAGATAGATAGATAGATAGATAGATAGATAGATAGATAGATAGATAGATAGATAGATAGATAGATAGATAGATAGATAGATAGATAGATAGATAGATAGATAGATAGATAGATAGATAGATAGATAGATAGATAGATAGATAGATAGATAGATAGATAGATAGATAGATAGATAGATAGATAGATAGATAGATAGATAGATAGATAGATAGATAGATAGATAGATAGATAGATAGATAGATAGATAGATAGATAGATAGATAGATAGATAGATAGATAGATAGATAGATAGATAGATAGATAGATAGATAGATAGATAGATAGATAGATAGATAGATAGATAGATAGATAGATAGATAGATAGATAGATAGATAGATAGATAGATAGATAGATAGATAGATAGATAGATAGATAGATAGATAGATAGATAGATAGATAGATAGATAGATAGATAGATAGATAGATAGATAGATAGATAGATAGATAGATAGATAGATAGATAGATAGATAGATAGATAGATAGATAGATAGATAGATAGATAGATAGATAGATAGATAGATAGATAGATAGATAGATAGATAGATAGATAGATAGATAGATAGATAGATAGATAGATAGATAGATAGATAGATAGATAGATAGACAGACAGCGAAACTATTATTATAGATGAGTATAAAGTTGTTTAAGTCTTAATCTGTCAAAAGTTTTATTTCTTTAAGGGCATGTGCGGGTGCTGAATACCAAATTGGCCAAAATGCTTATTTCCGACCGTTTCCATGGTGATGGCGGCTTTCTTGAAATGTACTTTCCTTTTTAACATCGAAAACCTGAGTGGTAGATGGATGATTGATGGATATCTCTGAGAAACACATAGTGGTAGATGGATGATTGATGAATACCTCGATCTGTGAGTCCACATAACTAAAATAGTGTTGTATCAACCTCTGCAATGCTTGTGGGGACCAACTTTTTATTCGACCACATTTTAACTCCATTGTTTAGACAATGTTTCCGATGCACATTAACGATTTAACTTCCAGTACATTTTCTTAAACTCGCACATTCTCTACTACCTCTGAATAATATATTATTTTAGTTTGTCATTTGTAAATAAACCTTAAATTTAAATTGTAGTAAATTCACATTGTAGGTAACCGATAATTTATATGTATCTATGTTGTAGAGATCCTAGCGCCGTTATAGTTTCTCGTGTGCAACGGAGAGATTTAAATTAGAATTATTCTTTAGCAGATCTTAGTGTTTTGACTGAATATACGTTTTATCCTGCTTAAATTTTATTTCATTTGATGTACAAGTTATTCACCTTTTTCAAGTTAATTTTAGTCATAACAACCTTTTTATTGGCTTTAGCCATTAATTGTGAGCATAATTAACTTTTCGATATAAGTATACATGCCTAACGCTATTTTAATTTATTTTTATACATTTTAAATTTTACAAGCTTTTTTTTTAGTTTGCAACGTCTTTTTTTGTTCGTTTGTTTGTGGGTTTGTGAGTACTATCTTATCTCAATTTTGACCCACTTTTAATGCACCGATTTCGTTCAATCTTTCCAGATACGTTCCACTTATATGACAATACAAGTATATCTATTTTTTTAAATTTAATTAGATGTTTAATTAATCATTACACAAAATTAATTAATTAAATGGTTTCGAAACTAAGGGAAGATGACAAAATTAAATCACTCGATAGATTACTATATTCCAGGGGTCTCCAAACTACGGCCCACGGGCCCGCGAGGTCCTCTCATCCGGCCCGCGGAGATCTTTTTGTCCACGGAAAAAACGTTTGTTGGTGATGGCTGAGGAACTTTGCCCAGAAAAATCAAAGACATGCCTGGAAGAAACTGGCCCCCGAACTGAAATTTGATAGTTAATGCGGCCCTCGGACTGAAAAGTTTGGAGACCCCTGCTATATTCAATAACAGACGTTGTTGACAGCTGATATTCATGAGAATTTTTACAATTGTAGAACCAGTCGATCTATGCAAAGCTATCAGGGGCAGATAATAAAGTTTTTAAATTACTGAAACTACGGGGAGGTAGCAAGATTAAGAACTATCTTTTGCTTGGTCAGCTAGCTGTTGTCTGTAAATTGTGGTAACGGACGGCTGCTTTCAGGGCTCGCGGGCTACAGTTGGTGTTTTAAAACAAATATTTTGGTCGTGTTGACTCCATTAATTAGGAATCAATAAAAAGTGGAAAATAAAAAGAAAAATTATCAAAACCAGCAAGAAGCTTTTAAATGCACTGAATATAAGAAAATAAAACGAATCTGCTTTTCTTTCTTTTACAAATTTTCTGTGAGAAAGCAGATTTGTTTTATTTTCTTGTTTTCAGTGCATTTAAAAGCTCGTTCCTATTTTTTATAAATTATATTTGTTTTTTAATCATAATTTTTCTAAAATCTTGAGAGGTTGGCACCTTATTTCTGTTTTTACTACATGTAAACTCATTGGTGAAACAGGCCGTACGGAAATTGTCTAGAAAACAGGTTTCGATACGTCACCTGTCTAGACCACCTGGACTCCATACAGCACTCGCTGTCTAGACAAACTTCCCTCAATGTAGGTCTCACGAGTTGAATTTGTTGACAGATTCAAACGGAAATCGCGTAAAATAAAATGGATTTCAGATATCACATAGCCACAAGGCGCTGTGTGTTAAGCGCTATAACAGAAACTGAATGTTCTTCAATGCCTTCACACAACAACGCACGAAACATTCAGGTAAAAAAAAATATTTAATGCGGGTTATATCGGGTACATGGGCTAAAATTAAAACAAAAATGTTTTCCTCTGTCGCTGCTGTCGTTAAGAAATGCGATGTCCACACAGAGAAAAAACGTCAAGAAGAGACAGAAACAATAAACACCACAGGTATAAACAGAACTAATTTATCCTGTGTTGAAAGCGTTCTATTGGTAGTAACTTTTTACGCCTGTTTCCTCCACTTGGAAATGTCCACAAATTTCTGTATCAAGCCAACAGTAAAGATGACGACAAGAGCAAACACGGCCAGCTCGACAAAATTTGTGATGGCCAAACTAATGTTTTCTATTGAGTGAAAGTCTTCTAATGTTAAACCAATGAGTAGTTGTTTGCGTAGATCTTTACATATTTGGCCATTACCATTATCTACTAGCACTGGGACCAGTCTTTCTTCTAGATTTTTTTCTCCGGGGGGGGGGGGGGGGGGGGCGGACAGCATTTTCCGGGGAGGGGGCGAACACTGGTAAAAGTATGTTTTCGATAAAATTCATTTTCCTTCGGAGCGGTAGACTTTCACCGGGGGAGGGTAGACCTACAGGTGTGTATGTGGGCCTACAGGTGTGTATGTGACCTACATGTGTGTATGTGGGCTTACAGGTGTGTATGTGACCAACAGGTGTGTATGTGGACCTACAAGTGTTTATGTGGGATTACAGGTGTGTATGTGACCTACATGTGTGTATGTGGGCTTACAGGTGTGTATGTGGACCTACAGGTGTGTATGTGACCTACAGGTGTGTATGTGACCTACAGGTGTGTATGTGACCTACAGGTGTGTATGTGGGCCTACAGGTGTGTATGTGACCAACAGGTGTGTATGTGGACCTACAAGTGTTTATGTGGGATTACAGGTGTGTATGTGACCTACATGTGTGTATGTGGGCTTACAGGTGTGTATGTGGACCTACAGGTGTGTATGTGACCTACAGGTGTGTATGTGACCTACAGGTGTGTATGTGACCTACAGGTGTGTATGTGGGCCTACAGGTGTGTATGTGACCTACAGGTGTGTATGTGGACCTACAGGTGTGTATGTTGACCTACAGGTGTGTATGTGACCTACAGGTGTGTATGTTGACCTACAGGTGTGTATGTGACCTACAGGTGTGTATGTTGACCTACAGGTGTGTATGTGGGCCTAAAGGTGTGTATGTTGACCTACAGGTGTGTATGTGGACCTACAGGTGTTTCTGTGGGCCTACATGTGTGTATGTGGGCTTACAGGTGTGTATGTGGGCCTACTTGCTTTCAATATGTTATAGATTAATTCTTAGTTAAATAGTGCCAACTATGTTATTGCATTTCATAATTGTTTTCTCCGAGAATATGAAAGTGTGAATAGTCATACATTGGAGCAAAGATTTGAACCCAATCTAACCCAATGTCCACTGTCCATCTGACTCCATGTCCACTGTCCATCTGACTCCATGTCCACTGTCCATCTGACCCCATTGACCACTGTCCACCTAAACCAATGCCCACTGTCCATTTGACCCCAGGTCCACTGTCCATCTGACCCCATGTCCACTGTCCATCTGACCCTAGGTCCACTGTCCATCTGACCCTAGGTCCACTGTCCCTTTGACCCCATGTCCACTGTCCATCTGACCCTAGGTCCACTGTCCATCTGACCCTAGGTCCACTGTCCATCTGACCCAGGTCCACTGTCCATCTGACCCCATCAGTGTGTCTAGCAGGTGTGGCCATATTTTGGACTGTATTATTGTGTATCGTAATGTTCTGTGTTCAGAGAGTGCGGACTTATGGTATGTCTATACATAAACCACAGCTTCAAACAAGCAAAAACTGACCAAGATTTTAAACGAAAAGCACTTCTTTTGTTTCCACAACTAGGAGCGAGAATTAATCGAGCGTGAGAAAATAATTGCCTCTGACCATCGGGGACAAAATAGTGACCAAAACACTTGCTGAAATCTGGAGCTCATTTTGAGATAGATGAAAATGTTGACAGTCGAGTTGAGGGAGGCAACGTTGCAAACAATTGAAAAAGTTGCAGTAAAAATGTTGATTTCTTTTGCTTTGACGCGGTAGTCTTTATAAAATAGAACAGTAATTGTACTAACTACCTCGGGAAATGAACAGATTATAAACACCACAGATATAAATAGAACCATCTTAACCAGAACGTTGTCGCGTGATGTCATTGTGCTATTTTTAGAAACCGAAGACGAACGTTTCCTCCATTTGGAAATGTCCACAAATTTCTGTATCAAGCCAGCAGTAAAGATGACGACAAGGGCAAACACGGCCAGCTCGACAAAATTTGTGATGGTCAAACTGATGTTTTCAATGGCGTCACTGCTTTCAAATTTGATTAGACCAATCAATGTTGAATTGGTTTCCAGGTTAAACTTCGGTCCGATTTTATTTACAGCAAATGCCGGGATGACACTACAAATCATACTGACATAAATGGCACAGGAAACCATGGCTGTTCGCTTTGGTGTGATGAGGGCCTTGACCTTCAGTGGCACAGCTATACAGAGGAATCTTTCCAGACTTATAAAAGCTGTCAGACAACCGGAAATCCTAACAAACATAATGTGGGGCCATCCCAAGATCAGATAACTCACGGCATGGATAAGTTCTAGATTTGTCTTATCCTGTGTTACTGCTGGTGTGTAGATGACCACATAGCCAATCATCGTGATGTGTATACCGATGTCCGCTATGGCAAGACTCAACAAAGAAATGTTGATGGTATCGGTGAAGCCCAGTTTGATGAAGACGATGATGTTGATACTGTTGAAGATAATACCTGCAATGTTGATAACCCCACCAATGACGACCATGCTGGCCAGAGAAAAATAGCCGAATGTGACGTCATCCATTAATCCATGTTGGACAAAGTTGAAACAACTTTTGTCGGTGCTGTCTGTAGTACAAAAGCTGACGTCATCTATGGTGGATGTCACGTTGTCAGCCATTGTGTTGTTCAATGTGCTGTTTTCGCTTTCCACTTCAATCATCGGATTAATGGCGAATATTCTAGTGTGTATCAAGTTAATGTAGTCTGATAACTTATTTTAATACTGTAACAAATTATTTAATTTTATGTAACTCCAGATCTGTTTGATTTAGTTGATGTGTAGTAGCTCAAGAAAATAGTATGTCCACTAATGTTTTCTGTATTTCTGTGAATCTCCCCATACTGGTTAGACCTGACGTAGTCCCTAGGTAGAGGGTAACTCGCTTCTGGTGATAGCTTGGTGATCGTCACCAAACTAAATCCTTGTCTGTACCTTGAAAACTTTTTCTGATAACAAACTAACTAAAACTTATTTAGTAATCTAAAACAACAAAAATCGAACCTTAATAATAGCGTGGTAGACAAAACACCAGCAACCTTTTAATTTCCCTGAGACTAAGTCAGCATTATTACTTTAAATCGGGTTGTTTATGAAAATTATTTTGTTAAAAGTGAATAATTCTGGGTGTTGGAGAGAAACACTGTTTAATTTTTTAATTTAAAAAAATGAAACAATGGCGATCACTTAAACATCAAATTAAATGACTACGTGATCTTTTATTATTGCCTGATGGTAGTTTTCGGAGATTTGACTCTACTGATGATTACTGTTTTTGTCGAGATACATCAATTAGATGCTAGCGAAAAATAAGTAGTAGAAGTTTCTATTGGTCTGGTTGGTCCTAATTTGTAAATCAATAATTGTCGGTGATAGTTCGTCTGTTCTTGTTTAAAGGGGCAGCTCTCGAAAAGAAACTATCTACATTATTTTACAGTTCTCTGTTATACAAAGTTTTGGTGTATGAGGACGTCACTGTAATTTCTCCACACATTTTTTTACATGTAGGTGAAGCAGAGTTTTGCTGAAGTATTTGTTTATCATCTGTGCTGTGAAACCCTGGGCTAGTACTAAAACTTGCAGACCAATTCACGTATGAAGGTGTTGGTGCAAACTTGGGCACACTCAAAAGTAAACGTCTAACAACTAGACTCACTTATGCCTTAGTCTTGTCGTGTAGAGTAGGCTAATTTATGCCTTGGTCGTGTAGGATATGTATTAAATGTATGTCGATTCTCCCTTCCTGAATACGTATAACGTTAATTAACAAATTCTTTCAAATACAAATATGTGACATTATTCCTATGAATTTATTTCATGTGACTTTTTTTGTGACTTTTTTCCTGTGATTATATTTCCCACAATCAGTTGTGTGATGAAGAAAGTGTGAGAGAAGTGCGGGAGTCATAAACCTCAGTAGCTAGTGAGCCCAAAGAGTATACTCAACTCAACATCGAGGTGATGTTCGGTACGAGGTGATGTAGAACTTGTTGATGTTTGGTACGAGGTGATGTAGAAAGTTTTGATGTTCGGTACGAGGTGATGTAGAAAGTTTTGATGTTCGGTACGAGGTGATGTAGAACGTGTTGATGTTCGGTACGAGGTGATGTAGAAAGTTTTGATGTTCGGTACGAGGTGATGTAGAACGTGTTGATGTTCGGTACGAGGTGATGTAGAAAGTTTTGATGTTCGATACGAGGTGATGTAGAACGTGTTGATGTTCAGTACGAGGTGATGTAGAAAGTTTTGATGTTCGGTACGAGGTGATGTAGAACGTGTTGATGTTCGGTACGAGGTGATGTAGAAAGTTTTGATTTTCGGTACGAGGTGATGTAGAACGTGTTGATGTTCGGTACGAGGTGATGTAGAAAGTGTTGATGTTCGGTACGAGGTGATGTAGAAAGTGTTGATGTTCGGTACGAGGTGATGTCGAAAGTGTTGATGTTCGGTACGAGGTGATGTAGAACGTGTTGATGTTCGGTACGAGGTGATGTAGAAAGTGTTGATGTTCGGTACGAGGTGATGTAGAAAGTGTTGATGTTCGGTACGAGGTGATGTCGAAAGTGTTGATGTTCGGTACGAGGTGATGTAGAACGTGTTGATGTTCGGTACGAGGTGATGTAGAAAGTTTTGATTTTCGGTACGAGGTGATGTAGAACGTGTTGATGTTCGGTACGAGGTGATGTCGAAAGTGTTGATGTTCGGTACGAGGTGATGTAGAACGTGTTGATGTTCGGTACGAGGTGATGTCGAAAGTTTTGATTTTCGGTACGAGGTGATGTAGAACGTGTTGATGTTCGGTACGAGGTGATGTCGAAAGTGTTGATGTTCGGTACGAGGTGATGTAGAACGTGTTGATGTTCGGTACGAGGTGATGTCGAAAGTGTTGATGTTCGGTACGAGGTGATGTAGAACGTGTTGATGTTCGGTACGAGGTGATGTCGAAAGTGTTGATGTTCGGTACGAGGTGATGTAGAACGTGTTGATGTTCGGTACGAGGTGATGTCGAAAGTGTTGATGTTCGGTACGAGGTGATGTAGAACGTGTTGATGTTCGGTACGAGGTGATGTGGAACGTTTTGATGTTCGGTACGAGGTGATGTAGAACGTGTTGATGTTCGGTACGAGGTGATGTGGAACGTTTTGATGTTCGGTACGAGGTGATGTAGAACGTGTTGATGTTCGGTACGAGGTGATGTGGAACGTTTTGATGTTCGATACGAGGTGATGTAGAAAGTGTTGATGTTCGGTACGAGGTGATGTAGAACGTTTTGATGCTCGGTACGAGGTGATGTAGAACGTGTTGATGTTCGGTACGAGGTGATGTGGAACGTTTTGATGTTCGGTACGAGGTGATGTAGAACGTGTTGATGTTCGGTACGAGGTGATGTAGAACGTGTTGATGTTCGGTACGAGGTGATGTGGAACGTTTTGATGTTCGGTACGAGGTGATGTAGAAAGTGTTGATGTTCGGTACGAGGTGATGTAGAACGTTTTGATGCTCGGTACGAGGTGATGTAGAACGTGTTGATGTTCGGTACGAGGTGATGTGGAACGTTTTGATGTTCGGTACGAGGTGATGTAGAACGTGTTGATGTTCGGTACGAGGTGATGTAGAACGTGTTGATGTTCGGTACGAGGTGATGTGGAACGTTTTGATGTTCGATACGAGGTGATGTAGAAAGTGTTGATGTTCGGTACGAGGTGATGTGGAACGTTTTGATGTTCGATACGAGGTGATGTAGAAAGTGTTGATGTTCGGTACGAGGTGATGTGGAACGTTTTGATGTTCGATACGAGGTGATGTAGAAAGTGTTGATGTTCGGTACGAGGTGATGTAGAAAGTGTTGATGTTCGGTACGAGGTGATGTCGAAAGTGTTGATGTTCGGTACGAGGCGATGCATCGCGAAAGATTATTTTCTTTTCCTCGCCACCATGTAGATCTATATCTTGTCCAAAATTAAGAAACAAGAGGCGTTTCATTGAGTGAATAAGTGTGTGGTTGAATTATTTATGTGTGAATTCGTTTATTAAAATTGTTTTTTTTCTTACATGGTTAATAAGTTGATGTAAATTATTTTTAATTTATTAAATAGGTATTAATTGTTCTATTGAATGTTCCAGAAATGTGTATAAATTCCAAGGAATGTACATTTTAAACTGGCAATTAGGTGCATGTCAACGAAAAGTTTTGTTTAGTCAGAGTATCATAGTGTGTTTGCCGGGATTGTTAGTCAATATTTATAGTTATCACAATCATAACTGGGTGGTCGTTTGGACGTTAGCTAACAATAGTCTAGGACACACGGAATGTGCGTTTGTGAGTTGAGTTTAATCTCTGGAGTTTAACCTAAGTTCAAATCTAATATACAAAGTTCAAGTATGAACTTTATTATTTACATTTAGTTCATTAGCACTAATTAAGTCATTGATAAATTAGGAAAACACAATTACTTCCCTTTATTAAATAAACATAACATCGGGGGTAAAAAATTTACTTTTTATTACTTTGTTTTGGTGTTGGGCAAAAGAATGATTACATAATTAGTGTGGATTGATCCAAGTGGAATGTTGTAGGTATTTTGAATACTGTCTTTTATTCATTTTATACACTAGACGTACTAATCATTATTTTTAATCAAAGACAATTGACGTAAAAAAAAAGACATCTTTATTCGGGAACAGGAATTCCCGCAGGTTAATATAGTCTTTAACTGAATCGAATCCAGGGCGTCCACTGCCGCCCCGACAGGGTGCGATTTTTCTCCCTGGGCCTTCTCGTGTTCGCTATGGCGTCTACGTTCGTTTAAGTGACGCATAAAACTAATAATAAGTTGGGGTACCACAGTCATTTACTGAGTTGAATCAGACGGTTCCGCGTGGTGTGATTGGGCACCCCAGTCTAGACTGAGCACTTTGCGTTTATGTTTAAGTTTGGGTTTCCTTTGTGTTTGAGTTTGGGTTTGCATTTGTGGTTGGGTTTGTGTTTGGATTATGTGTTTTTGTTTTTTTGTTTTTTGCTTTTTGGTTTGCGTTTGTGTTTGCGTTTGTGTTTTCGTTTGTGTTTGTATTTGTGTTTGTGTTATGTTTGCGGCTTCTTTTGTGTATAGAATTTGGTTGGTTGTGGTTAGGGTGGGCAATGCCGGGTATATGCTGAATACTAAACACGCAAGTCATGGTCCTTTACAGATAGGTTTTTCACAGAGGCCAATACATGGCCTGGGCGGTACGGCTAGTGTGAATATAAAAGAGGTGTGAATAATTGTTCGGGAACATTTTTAGTTAGATACTAGAATACCCGTCATCCGTTGGATAACTGTGGGCTTCGGGGGTCATCCATCAAAAAACATCACGTCTGTCACTCAGAGGCATAGCGACCCTTCCCGGCGCCCGGGGACAAACTTTTCGATTTGAACCCCCCCCCCCCCTCAACCTTTCAATTTATTTTTCCAAACCATTTTAGCGCCCCAACATATGTCCCCCCCCCCCTTCCCCCCCCCCCGCCTCCCCTCCCCCCCCCCGCCTCCCCTCCCCTCCCGCCCCCCCTCCTCGCTACGCTACTGCAGTGTCACTTATCGTCACAAAAACAGACCCCACATTCAAAAATATGTTTTTTTATC